GTAATCAGACTGAAGTTCTGCACACTCCAGACTTTTATCCGCACTGGACACTCTTATCTGTCAAACACACCAGGGTGCTCGCCACCTTTCAATTCCCATAGTTCTGGTTACACCGCACGTGGGAGAGATGCCAAGACAATACGAGCAGGAAAAATCCGCACGTGGAAGAGATGTGAAGACAATACGAGCAGGAAAAATGAGGTGGTGTGTCCCCCCTCTACCTCTCATCATTCCTATTATCCCCATCATTCATCCTCTTCGTCTTTTGTTGCAATGGCGGAGGATACGGGTGAGCTATGACATTGCTACAGGAACACGCCCGCCTTCCCGTGTCAACAGAGATGTCGACTGCACATGCCACGGAATGCGTATTCAGCTGTTACTCTAATGCTTTTCATCAGAAGAACGATGCTGATAACAAACAACACAAAAATACACACCATGTTCGCGCCACACAGTGGTACACAGCAATTCCGTGCAGTCCACACGCACACATCAGCTGCAAGAACACACCATGTACGAGCCGCGGATCAATTCCCTGCTATCCGTTAACACTTGCTGGGCATCAGCGGACTGCTGCATACTTTCTATCCACGTACAGACTGTTCAAACCCCTCCGCAGATCATCTCTGCAAGCACTACTCATGGCCGGCACCCACTTTAGTAGAAGATGGACAAGACGAAATCACAAAGTTAAACAGCAGCCTCCACGGAGCAGTTTAAAGCAGTGTGATCACAAACAGCAGAACAAAATGAAAAACATAAGGGAGCTGAGTGAGCACCTTCTTCTCTCTCTCTCTCTCTCTCTCTCTCTCTCTCTCTCTCTCTCTCTCTCTCTCCATTTTGTGAACTACCGAGGCATGCATTCTTTAAATTATGTGGCACCTTGAGTGTTAATGTCCATGCCGCTTCCACTTCCTTGATCTGCAGCAGTCACACCCAAGAAGTACACACAGAAAACAAGTCTATTGGTACGGAAGTGAACATAGCCTCCTCCCTAGCGTCAACTGGAAGTATCATGCTTCCAGGACAGGATCGTACAAGTTCTCAAAATGATCTTAGAACCTATTCATGAACCCCGCTCTGAGACAATTGGGTTTAGTACGACTCTTACTCTTACATGTAATCACGGTGCCTATAAAGCCCCTCGACCCCCTCTTCCAGCAAAGGTTTCAAAATTGAGTTGAGTTCATCGGGTCTGGACATTGGGTGCTTGGATACCTTAAATGGAAACTAAGACTTGCTGGCCTCCGTACCTCTTTCCATTCTGCTCGCTCTTCACCCAACCCCATTCCAAACCGACGCCTGAAGCTGGCATCATGGAAGCCGCTGTAACCACAATGCCCATTTCCAAAATGGTGCTTTAAAGATGTCCGCATCATCTTTTTCGGACATCCTCACGCAACAGGAACCAGGAGAACAAATACCAGCTTGGAGCAGATGCAGCACTTTGTGTGTCCTCTTACGCACGGCGCACCCGTGGGGTCATCAGACTAACTAAGATTGGATCAACTGGAACTGGTAAATTCATTGTCGCAGGTTCAAATCCTACATTTCAGAAATTAAACCACCAGTACTTGGCCCATACATGGGCCGCGGCCCTTCCCCATTCGTTGTTTTTCTTTCTTTTCTTTTTTCGGGGTTCGGGTAAGGCCTGGCAGTGCAACGGAGGAGGACATGCGTGGGCCCACAGAAATGGGGCAAATGGACTGTAAGATGTCCTGGTGCTGTGCTATGTGGAAACGAGCGGAGGCTGAAGGCGACCAGAGGGAACAGAGGAAAGAAAAGGATATCGTTATTTTTCTTTCTTTTCTTTTTTTGGGGAAGAAAACTCTTTTTTCATGTGTACGCCAGCCCTTCGGATCTCAGGGCTTCCCTATAACGTTAGCACTTCTTGGAATGTATCTGGCTGCACTTGTGGCACAGTGGATGAATCCGAAGGCAATCACGTTCAGAGCTCGGTATCTCTTTTCCCCTTTTCTTTTTGTTTTTTTTTTGTTTTTTTTTCCGGGAAGCAGTATCTCGGCTATCTCAGCTGTTTGTGCTTCTGCTCCCCGTGAGAGACGGGGAGCATTCAATCCTTGCCGACCGTTTCATTTCCAGGGCTTCACTGTGATTTAGCACTTCCAGAATGTGTATCTGAGGGCAATCACGTTCAGAGCTGGGTATCTCTTTTCCCCTTTTTTTTTTTTTTCTTTTTTTTTTCGAAGCAGTATCCCGGCTATCTCGGTTGTTTGTGCTTCTGCTCCCCATGAGAGACGGGGAGCATTCAACGAGATCTTTCAAGACGGATCTGGCTGCACTTCTTCCCATGAGAAAACTATCACCTCTTTACATTCCAGCTGCTGGCAGCAGTTCCAGAATAAGGGCGGTACCTGTGCCAAGCATCAAATGTCCCATGTTGGGTCCCCCCCCCTGCAGGCTCATCAAAAATCGGCGCGCTGGGCATATTCAGGCCTGGCTTGAATAGCTGGACCGAGTACTGGTGGTTTAAGCCATAATAAAAAAAACAGAATCTGATCCTGGTGCTCAGAATGAACGCTCTTACTGAAAAACACTGCGTACTATTTCCTGCACCGCCCCCCAAACTTTCAATAGTTGCAGTGTGCCTTCGGACAAGCGTCTCATGTCTTAATCCGCGGTCAGAATGAGATGGTGACAACGGGGTTGAGATGAACATTTCTAAAATTAAGAACGCACACATACTACCACACGGTGCTCCCCTCCCTGTGCCAATTGACTTCAGATAGCACTCGATAACAGACGTGGAAGAGCAGAAAATTTACAGGGAGCCAGGCTATATCTATCGACAGGCAGAACAATATCGGGTTCCACCTCGGATGAATCACGACACAACACACCGTCAATGCTTGGATCACACACCACATTTCGCTCTCTTCTCAGAGGGAACCAACCTCCACGACCATTCACACGAAGTCCATTGGTAATTAGCAAACCCTGCAAAAAAACAAAAAAAGGCAGAGAATGGGAAAAGGAGAGCATTCTTGAAAGTTCGAATGATGCAAGGAAAGCCAGCACGGCTTCGAGTGTGGAAGGAGTGGTTTCGGTACAGGAGGAAGAAGTCGGAAGAGGCACTAGATAGAGACAACACACAATTGGAAGGAATGTAATGAATCACCTGTAGCTTCGGGAAAGCGGTGGAAGAGCTTTGGCAGAGAGGAGGTCACAAAACCTGGGATGCTTGCAGGAGCAGGTGCACTGCTGTGTTTGTTCTGTCGGTTGGCTATGTGGCTTAACTGATTGCGTGGGGTGACTAGCTGTGTGGATTGGCTGCCTACGTGGCTGCATGAGTCCGCTGCCTGGCTACATGCGGCGTTCACCGCCCATACGGTTTTTGGCTATATGAACTGTCTTCCTACGGACTAGGTTATGTGGAGCGGCTGGCTATTTGATTGGCTAGCCGTGGCATTGCTATCGGTTTCCGCAACACGGGTTCCCTGTACATACCTCTTGGCTATTTGGCTGGAAATGTGATTTCATAATCCGCCTCAGCAATCTATGTGGCCATTTCTTGTGCATGGAACTACCTAACTATGGATGGGGCTTGGTTATGTGGAAGGGTACATGGAGCTGCCCAACCATGGGGCTTGGTTATGTGGAAGGGCTGGATATACCTCTCAGGTCATCCGGTTGGCTGCAAATGTGGGTTCAGCCATGTGCCTTAGCTATCTATGAGCGTTGACTATGTGTCCTGGGTGGCTATTTGCCTTCGTTATGTGGCTTGGCATTACAGCTTCGCTGTCTATTTCGCTTTTTTGAGTATGGCTTTGCAAGCGAAGTGGCCTGGCTGCTTATGTGGGTTGGCCACGTGGCCTGGCTGCTTATGTAGGTTGGCTACGTGGCTCTGTACCAATACCCAACTACCGCCTTCACCCGGATACGGTTATTATAGATGTATTTGGGCCAACTTCGAGTCTAGAGACAACAATAATGACGGCACGGTGTATTCGGTCGACGACAGTATGTGCCTCAGCCGAGTGCACTTTGATGCGTGGCTTGGCTATATACACATCTGTGTCTTGACGGGAACACTAAGGTTGGTTGGCTATGTGCCTTTGGTGGTGGCTTAGCTACATCTTTTGCTGACTACATACCTTGCTACTCAACCAGCTGCAATGCGGCCAAGCCGTGTGGATTGTGCCTGACGGGTGACACAGTGCACATTGCACCTTTGTTCCTGCCATTACCAATGATAAGCGAATAAAATAAATGAAACAAATTCAAACGGGAAAACAGACGAAACAAAAACATTCAATTACAAATTATTACATAACAACAGAAATGCAAGCCACTGGGGCCCACTACTACCAAGTACTTAATTTAAGATAAGAAACGAAAACAAAACCGTAAGAAATTATTAAGTAAAAATAAAAAAGGTGTAGAAAATTCAGGAAAAAAGTCTGAAAAAACAAACAAATTAACAATCTTAAATTAAGCATGCAAAAAACAAAACAGAGCAAAGAAGATCAGCAATTAAGCTAAAGCCTAAAAGCGTACAAAAATAAGGGCCTCACCACACCACTGTCAAAATGGAAAAACAACGAGTGCACCTTCCTCAGAAAGTGGCAAAATGCATCCGTTGCCATTCATAGTAACCCATGCATTTGGTCACACCCCACAGGAACATGCGATTCGACAGTGGTGTGGCGAGGCCCTAAATTGATGTTCGGAGAATACATAAATAAATGGGCCTCTTCATTTTGCTTGGACATTGACATCTTCTACACAAGTCCCTATGCAAGGTATATGATAGTGGGGCTCAACGGCACCGAAAAGTATGGTCATGTCCACCATACAACTCCATAAAAAAATATATCTGCGCAACAGTTTCCTTGGACTTTCTAACACACACACACACACACACACACACACACACAC